TTTACTTATATATATATATATATATATAGTATATAAAATGAGTAAAGGACTAGAAATGTAGATGCGCACATTGACACCTTTAACCCAGTCTTCGAAGCAATACAAGAAAGAAACACCAAATAGCAACAAATACATACTATAAGAGTAAGAACCAGTCCAACTCAATAAGCAGTTGAAAACAAGGAGAAGAACATAGCAAGAAGGAATGTAAGTACACAAACACGTAAAATTACACAAAAAAACTTCATAAAACATAAATTCTAATACAAAAATGTACACTTATTACAGACACACATGCACACTGGGAGAACCATACATTAATAACTAAGTATCAATGCAAAGGGCAGCAGTTTTTTCAACCACAACTTTTAACACCCGATGATGACAACACTGGTTGAAACATGCAAAAAAAAATGAAGTAACTGACTTTTAACAAGTTTAGTAAGTTAAAAATGGTTGCACTAAAGACTGTGAAACTAATTGAGAATAAGCATGGATTGTTGTACCTGTGTTTTTAATGAAACAGTTAATTGCGAAAGATAGGTATAGGTCATTCTTGGGCAATTCCTTCCAGAGTTAACAGAAGCAGCAAGACTCTGCTACTGCCCACATTGTATGTATATCTGTGCAGTCTTTGCCCAGTGTCTTCGGGGACAGAATTATCAGCAGTGATATTTGGCCAGCACATTCACCCGATCTTACTCCTTGTGATTTTTTCTTCTGAGGTTGTGTGAAGAACAATGTTTACAACAGAAGCACCTGAATGGAAGAACTAAAAGAAAATATTTGTAGGAAAATTCCTGCTGAACAGCTTCAAAGGGTAAATCAGAACCTCTTCCTCCAGTGCAAGGAATGTGTATGTGTAGAGGGACAGCATTTTCAACTCCTGTGATCTGTGAAATGTAACTACTTCATTCCGAATGTTATCGGCAAAATTTGTACGTGCCTTGCAGCCAGTGGTGAACCAGTCAGCAAAGTAAAAATCCTCCTGTACATTTTATAAGGAAACTTTTCAGAGTTAAAAATAACCCCTTTGCTTGTTTATACCTTCAAGAAGACTTTATTGTCATTAAGCATTTCACTGAAATTTGTGTTGCTGATATATTTTCATAATCAGTCAAGTTGTAGGTGTATCGTGTAGCAGTCCTCAGATTCATCTTGGTTAACACTGATGATTGGTGAATCTACAATATATTAGGATTAGGTGGAAAAACATATGATGGAATGTAAGGCCATGACATCCGCTGATGAGATGATACAAGCTGTTCTGTCAAAGCAAAACCGGGCTGAAAGTCTGCATATAAGTATTTCAGAACCAAACTTATGCTCTACGGTGACAGTGACAATTTTATGATGGTTGCATGCCAGATTACAGATTATTGAATGATGAGACAGTGGCAATGATGAAGTGATGACAGTTTCTATAATTTTTGGAGCTGCAGTAGCTATGGGCCATGCCATAGCTCAGGTAGTTACTTGAAACTGTGTAGTCTGAGGCTCAATCCTGAGTAGCTTCATAGGACATCATAATCTGTCTTTAAGTTGGGGGCTTCATTTGTGATGTGGGCACTTGCCTGATCTCAGAGTAAGGATTTATATAATTTATATTCTGTTTAAGGTTAATTAGCTTCTGTGGGCATGTTGTCCCTTGTTTTGAATGTTGCTTCTGTGGGCATCTTGCCCCTTGCTTTGAACATTTCCAGAACACTCTTGGCAAGCTGATTTACTGACAAAATGGAAAGCATATCCTCATATTCTGCTGATAATACATAACTTACCTACAAAATTTGATTTAAATCGTTGAAGTTATAATAATTTTGGTCTAAGCGTACATTTGTTGTGAATTTAAAGCTCCATTTCCTCTATCCACAGGTTATTTAAATTTATTAAAATGCTCCAATGTTTAGATCAACCTACATTGAATAGATGAATATATACTGATGTAATGTTCTCTCTATGCAGGTCGTGATGGTAGCCGAGCTTTCATTACAGGAGATTTTACAGAATCTGGTTTAACAGATGATGTAATTGGTCTTACACCACAGGAACTTCATAGTCTTCATGAGTGGGCCCAGTTTTACCGTAGAGAGTATAAATATCTGGGTAAGGCTTTGTACACTATGATGCAATTCAAATTAAATTCTTTATATTTACATGTTAGAAAATCCAGTTTTTAATTCATAATTTCAGGAAAAGTAATTGGTCGATATTATGATACTGAAGGCCAGCCAACTCCATACTATCATCAAGTAAGGAAATTAATAAACAAAGCAAAAAGAACTAAACAGGAAGAAAGTATAGAGAAACTTTCATATCCTCCATGCAATTCAGAGTGGAGTCAGGAGTCAGGAAGCCATGTATGGTGTTCAAAAATGAGGTAGACTTTTTTTATAAATTCATATGTAACATTTATGTCTGATAGTCTTTCACTTGTTTCGGTTTATAAATCATTCTGTTTCAGTGGGGGTATTGAGCGGGACTGGATTGGAGTACCAAGGCAACTGTATGAACCAGGATCTCAAACACACAGATGTGCATGTGTAAGAGAAAATGAAATAGATGGCCCTTTTAAGAAGGGAAACATTAAAGAATATCCTGACTGTAACCCAAAGTCAACTAGCTGTTGGGTATATTCATAAGTTGCTATCCATATATGTACTGCATAAGAAAAGTGTTGGCCTTTGCTCAGACTTGATTGGAACCTAGCCTGCTCTTACTATCCTGATGTGTTAAGAGCAACAGCAAGATTTAGAAATGGAGATCTAATATACGTACACATTCTACAGTATTGTTTATCAGACCATATGCTTGTTAGGCAGCCCTTCTGAGAAAAGCTGTACTAGTTTGGCAGATAGCATCATCCTACGATTATGAGGAAACATGAGAGTAGAAACCAGCTCCCATGTTAAATCAAACAACCAAGAACTAGGAATAACTTCTTCTACTTGGACAGCAGACTGTGTTCTGTTACCATGACATGGATACACCATGCCATCTTAGCTTCCTGAATAGTTGGAAACTTCACAAAGACCAGTTTGGGCAGTTCCCCAATGCAGCAGCTTCAACTGTGGGCACCATGCACATCTTGGTATGTCTCTGTTGTGTTTTAAAGGGTTTACAGTGTTGAAAATTGATGAAATAGAATCTGGAAGTAGTCATTGCCTGAAGTTAGTCCTTGCATTTGCCTGAAGGGCCTCAGAAAATCCACAGAAAACCTTTCAGGACCGCCACGGTCCCAACTGAGACTTAAACGAAGCACCTGCTGAATTGAAATCCCGAGCCCTATACTGCTACACCAGTCTGCTTCATGTGAAAGCCTAAAATTTTCATTTGCATTATACCTTGTGTCACAGCATGTATATGTGAAACTTGATTTTTGCAATAAATTGCAACAAAAGATACAGAATACTGGCCTGCCATGATAATCCAGTTCTTTGGTATTATTTACAGCATTTGTAAAACATTTCTCTTGATAAATGCATGGAAGGCATTCACCAGTAATCTCTGTTGTCATTTCCCTTTATGCACTAGCAGCAGAGCCTACAAGCAAGGGAAGGCTTATAAAATATAAAATGTTCATAACAGACAACATTAAATTTGAAATTTGTTCTAGTATCAGAACTCCATTCCTGATCTAGACTTATATGTTTATTAAGAATGAAATTCATTAAAACTTAAAATATAAAGCAGGGGTGTCAAATTACTGGAATGAAGGCTGCATGCAGCATGCGAGAGTATTCTTCCATTCCAAAAATGTGTTTTGTTCTCCTCACATATATGAACAACTGTAGATTGGATTCAGATTGGTAATTGGATTTACTGAACACTTACAGAATGTAACTATAAGTAACTACAGCACTATTACTAATTCACATACTCTACAATTCACTACAGCATGGACTAAGTCTTCTCAGAGCGGCCTCCGTAGTCTAGAGGTAACGTTCCCACCTCATGACTCTTGGTACGCAGGTTCAAACCCGGCGGAGGTCGTCGAATTTTTAAGGTTGGAAAAATTCAGGAAACAAGTCCTCCGGGAGGGACTTTAAGCCGTGTCCCCCGTGTCGTAGCTTTACAGCACGTAAAAGAACCTCATATCTCCAAAGGAGGTCACTGAGCCAAATTCAAGGATGTTTCCTGCCCAACAAGTAGTCTCTAACACTTCTGATAGATGGGGGAAGCATTATAGATACCGCCAAGCTAGTGGAGGCCAAACTCGCTGGCTTGGTCGGGACTGATGGTATGCACCAATATCGGTAGGATATAGGAACTGGTAGAATATCATAGAGGGAAGCACAATGGACAAATACTGGGCTAAGTGCATGGGGAAACCCACCCTCTCCAATAACTAAGTCTTCTCAGTCTGCTGTATCTTCACCTGTTGTCAGCTGGTAACAGCTTACAATTCCAGAGCTCCCTCAGCTTCCATGTTCATGCTTTTACTGGCCTGCAACTATTTCACAACAAACTAAACACTAGGCTTGCCCTGCTTATAACACCATGGCATGAATCGCACAGAAAACACCTCTCCCAACATTTCTTCTATTGTGTCACATAGCTGTTGCATGGACTGCATAGAGAATGGTGCTTGTTAGGAATTTGTTGCTTAGCAATGGTCTACATGTTGCATTGCACCATCATTTCATATTTTCCAAGGGCTGTGCTTCTGATGTTTATTCGTCCTGAATAGCCTACAGATGTACCACCATTTCATCTCTACCATGGGCTGTGCTTGTGATTTCTGTGATATGCCTCACCTTCCTTCCCTGTGGCTCGGTTCTCATGGTTATTCTCCAGCTGCTCCCTCTTTAAGGCCACTCATCCTGAGGAGTTTCCTGATAAGGTGCAAGCCGGTCCTGGTGTACCACCACCAGCCTCGATCTAGAGTTCCTTTCCGACCAGTGCAGCCAAATTTCTGAGTGGTCAGTGCTCCTACATCTCTGGCTCTTGAGCAGCTAGTAGTTCCTTCTTTCATTTCGGAGGGGGCTAAACACTCCACAGTGTCCAGTCACCCACTTCCCATAACCTGACGACTTGCTTCATGACCTTCAGTATGAAAGTCTGCCTGACGGTCTTGTTGAATGCCCTCTTGCTTCCTAGATGTAATTCCCCTTTAGGCCTTAGTCCCTTATGGCAGTGTTGCATTTCTTCTGTTGCATCATGTAGCTGTTGCATGGACCATGCAGAGAACACTGCTTCCCATTTAGTCCATTGGTGTGTTACAATGGGCATTCTTTACAGAGTCATTACTTAGCAACGGGTCTGCATGCTACAATATATAAAAAAGAGAGAGACTATGAAGCTTGCTGAAAAAGCTTAATAAAGAGTGAAGAGTATGATCTGGGTTGTAACCCATGTACAGTGGAACCTCACTTAACGAGCAACGTTTCCCATAACGAGTGATGAGAGGGGAAGTCCCGGATTGTGCGCTTGTTACATCAGTCTGTGTTTAGCACTCGTTCCGCTAGCATCATAGTGTCGCTTGTGATCACACATTTTTCCAAACTTGTGTTCAGAAATATTATTTGTGATTTTTTTTGTGCAAAGTTTAATAACCCTTGCAAAAATGTCCCTGAAGAAAAATCCACAAAAAGACAGCCACAAGAGAATAAAAATAACCGTAGAAATGAAACGCAAAATCATTGAAAAGCGAGAATGAGGTGTGAGCGTGGCTGATCAGGCACACACATACAATCAGTCTACATCAACGATTTGCACTATCCTCAAGAACAAGGACAAGATTAAGGAGATAGATGCTTCAGAGGGAGTGGCAAGAATATCTATGCAACGGTTACGTATTCTCGATGATGTTGAAAGTTGCTCCTCATATGGATAAACGAAAAGCAATTGCTATGCGCGCTACAAATTTATTTAATGATAATGCTGTGTCACATTTTCACCAAATTTTGAATCGTCGGCAAAAACAAATGTCTCTAGACAGCTTTCTAGTAAAAAAGAATTAGATATGTATCATAAATAATAAACTAATTATTTCGTTTTTTTTTTCTGCAAATCGAATCCGCATTCCACGTTGGTAAATTCCGCAGAAGAAAAGATGATGATTCACGCTCCTTAACAATGTATATATAATTTTCTTTGAATAAACGTTATACATAAAATTTTTTGAGTATTTTTTTCGGCATGGAACGCATTATTGTATTTTACATTAATTTATATGGGAAAAATTGTTTCGCTTAATGAGTCTTTCGCATTAGAGTAAGATTCTAGAACGAATTATGCTCGTTAAGCAAGGTTCCACTGTAGTTTGGTAGAAGCCCACTGACATTTTAGAGGAATGAATTGCCTCTATCTTCAGGGTCGAAGAGTAAGCCAACTGAAAACGAGTAATCGCTGTGAGAATCTTAAATCAAAAGTGTTACAAAAATTGCATACTAAGTATTCCATGTAATTTTTTAATTAATTTTGTAACACCTAATAAATAAGAGCATGGAATTAGTGTGATTCCATGATCATATACAATATTGAAACAGTCTAGAATACCTTTGGTTGGTGATCTTGAAACACTGTCAATCTGGCAACATTTAATTTAAATGTTCTGAGACTTTACAGGTCTAGTTTTATTCCCGGGCTTGACATCATAGATCCATATCATTTCAGATATTTGTATTAGTAGAACTATATTAGGAAAAATTAATTTTTTTTACAATGCAGAGGGCATAGGAAGGTGGCCCCTTGGTGATTTAAAGTTGGGACAGATGTGATGGTAGTACATAATATGTAGTTGTACATTATAAAAGTGAGATTATGGAGATGACTGCAACTGCTGGCATCTGGTGAAAAGCTCACGTGTCAGATTGGTATTTCAGTTTCTGTGATGTTCAATCATTTACAGCCACTTCTGCCTTTAAGTTCTGTTTCACAATTCTTATATTTAATGTACCATGCTAATGTAATTGAACTTAATCATGATGTTTCACAAAGAGCCTAAAAGAAATTCATAATTTACACCCGTCAGCCTTGTAATTTCTTTTATACAAGTTTTCATGCAGTCAGTTTATTTGTTTAGTTCATATTTTATTAAAATCAGGGCTTAGATTTCCACATCAAAAGTAAATTTGTAAAAGTACATTGAATTCGATCATCTGAAATTATGCAAACTTGTACTTCTGCCATACATGAAAATACAATACCAACTCTTTGGTGCAATAATTAATGGAAAGTTCTGGTTTTGTACATCATTACTCTAGTAGCAATTACTGTACAGTGAAATCCCAAATGAGGAGGAAAGGATGCATCATAATAAGGCCACCTGTATTACATATGAAAAATGTCTTGGAACTGAATAACTGTTAAATATTCAGCATTGTTGGAAAAACTGCATATGTGAAATCAAAAATGAAAATTGGTACAGTATTGAACACCATTTTTTATTAGACTACCATTAAGTACTTATGAGAAGGTTCACTTATGTGAATTTTTCTTTTAACTAATGTTGCATATGGAATGTCCTGTTGAAGTCATGTCTGAAAATGAAATAAATACCTCAACCTATACAAAACCAAGCTATATAAACATTTTTAGGAGCTTTAATCTCAGGCCATGATACATTAGGCTTTTATTGCTATATTCTGTTACATTCATTGCAACTTAACATCCATATTGCTAACTTTTACCATACTGTAATCTCATGATGGGACACTGCTTATTTTGTACTACACATGCATTCAAAACTGTATGCAGCTTGTTCATATGTGGATACAAGAAAACCTACAAATTTGTCTGACATGTAACAATAATTCATTTAAATTAATAATAATAATAATAATAACAGTAATTTTATCAGTTCAAGAGCCAATTAATATTTCTTAAAAAGTAAGTACAGTATCAAAATACAAAACCAACTTTCCCACAAATGTTCTGCTTAAAACAGCTTGCACTAGCCATATACAAGGCTAAGACTATATGTTAACAAGTCATCAGAGTTGGCAGTAGTTACAGACAGGACCAAAAGATGGCTGCAGTAAATGGCAGTGGAAGATACTATGACACGACACCTAAAGTCAGAATCTTGGGAGTCAGAGGAATGTTGTAGAGGTGTCCATTGCTAGGTAACGTCAAGCAACAGCCGTGTATTTAGACAACCAATCCCCTACAGTGACATAAAAGCACATCAGTCCAACTGTCTGCGACTGTTTTCCCACCAGTCTGCAACAAAGCAGTATACAAACAGCCTGCAAGCTAACAAGAGTCAGCTGGGTGGTCAAGGACTGCAGACTGTAACAGACTGAGACATCATGTACTGTACTGATTGGGAGGAGGGTAAGAGAAATTGAGCTGTTGTGGTTAGTGAGAAAAAACGAATAGTGTGGTGAACTTGAGTCTACACCAAGATGGGGGATGTCCCAGTACTGGGATTCTGGAAATACTGGACACACATTCTAGCATAGCTCAAATCTGAATGTCAGCCACCA